AATACATGATGTTTTAGAGACTTGACACAAATCTCTAAAACATTATATATTTGTTTGCAGGCAAACATTTAATAATGCTAAGCAAAGCCAACCATAGATGCCCAAAGAATCGGCTTATACATTTAAGAAAAAAGGGGAAAAGGAAATATCCGAGGCCAATTACCTGGCGGCAGAAATTGTTTTCAGGCTTAGTTTGTTGGCGTTGCTTGATACTTGTACAGTTGTACTGATGACAATGTGTGTCTTTACGTCCAAACAAAAATGACAGACTTTCTTTTCATATAAAATGACGACATAGGCAGAATCCTTTTGAGCTATGCTAATAACATATGAATCATGCATGACGCTGCAGCTCACTTCCCGTGTGAAAAGCTTTGTAAAATATATCCTTCGGTGCGAAGTATAAGTCAGATATTTCTTAGTCATCCATTCATAGCTTTATTTTTTTTTGCAATACTTCTTTTTCCTTCTGAGTAGATAAGGCAGGGGAGACCATATGTAGCAGACAGATGTATGTGGCAAACAATGTTAGACGATGATGCAATCATGGATATCTTTGGCATGGAGGACACCTTTGCAGATGCTCTGTTCAGAGCGTTACATGTGTAGCATCTATGATAACTCGCGAAAAGCAGATGCACAGATTAGGAAGGGTTTACATGCCTCGAGATAGTGGCATATACACATCGATTAGGAAAGGTAATAACTCTGTTGTAAAAGAAAAAGTAAAGATCACACACTTATAAGCGTACATGTTCAGATACAAAGGAGAGATGGATATGCCATATAATTTATTTATCATATTATTTGGAATTACATTTACACCTTTAATTACATAAATATGTTTATCGGCTCACATAGCTTCTTGTGTTTATTCTAAATCGGGATATGTAATAGTATGACATCGCACGAACAAAGCTTCTGCCCCGCTTTATAGATACAACACAAAACACAAGTACACGGTTGAACGATATATGGTGAGGAGGAAGCCCTCAAAGAAGCATAGCCTTGGAAAAACCGAACAACATACATCGGAATGGTAATGCCGCTGAGCAAGATATAGGAGGGCCTAAAGAGTACACTACAACACGACTAATGCCACCTGAGTTCACGGCCCTTCCCTCAAGAGGAAACAGCAGAAAGCGTCGCCGTCCACGCGTCTGATGGAGCGGACAAGGGTTTTCACTTGGAACCCTAACATGAGAAGCGCAATTGCAACAACATCCTCAAGAGGAAAGCGGCATCCATGGGCATCATCGCCGTCGGCGCCTGAGCACATAGCTTTCGCTCGATTGCTTCCCCATGCCACAAAGGACCACAATCAACTACCGCGGCTAAGCCAACATCTGCAGATCCATCTCAAGGCCCCTCCCCAGCCACAACACAGAAGCGCTAGCCCATGACATGTGTGCCTGCTGAGAGAGGGGGAGACCCGCCGCCGCCAGCCGCAAGCGACCACGCCACCATGGGCAACCGGCATCGGGCCACCACCAATGCTGCCAACCGCCACCACCTGAAGAACGACCACAGGAGCTAGCCCGCACCACCCACCTCCGGCCGCAGCTCGATCTACTACCACAGGCAGGCCCCAGTAGGAACCATCACGCAACCACCATAGATCTACCCCGCCATTGTTCCCCACGTCGAGTCCGGGCGCCCTCTGCAGGCCAGGCG